AGGATTTGTTATTGATTATAAATACCTACATTTATTTATATTATTTCTTAAATTTTCAATTATTGTAATAACAAATGGTTCTTTATTGATTTGATATAAAATGCTTCCATATTATTAAATTCCAAATGCTTAACGCTAAAAAGAGAAATTTAAACAAATGTATATAGCAAGGACTGAAATGTAAAATTAAGCTTTATCACAAATTTTTATAGTTATAGTATACTATTAATCTTACCTAATAAAGGATTCCCGCTTCGCAGCTTTATTGATTATGGAGATAGAGCAGTCGTGATTTCAATAGACAGATAAGTGGAAATCATTAAATCAACTATGATCATGATTGTATATGATGTATACTTTATGGGGTCTACGACGAATATTTAGAGGTGTTATAAAGCGAATGACAAATTTAATATACACCTAAGTCTGTTTTTACACGGTAGATTGGTTCCAGAAGAAGCCGTGTAAAAAAAACGTGTAAAAAAGACATTGGTCTTATACAAAAATGGGAGATTTGTTCCTAATCTCTAAAACCTATTAAAATTAGTGAAAAACAAGAATTTTTAAGAACAAGAATTCATGAAATCACCGATTGCTTAATTGCAATTTCATTTTTCTTTATAGTTCTTATTGTGGCTTCATTTAAAGCGAAAGTTTTACCAAGAGCAGTTGAGCCTTCTCCATTTCGAAGGCGATCTAAAATTTTAATCTTGGTTTCCAAAGAAATTGCCTTCTTTTTTAGTTTTTTATCTGACATTTCCTTTTAGGGATACATAAAATATTTAACAAATTTAAAAAAACATAAATAACTGAATAAATACAAAATATTTTTTGGCTTACCTTTTATCTTAATGCGTTAAAATTAAATTTAAAAATTTAAGTACATAACATTTCAAATCGTGCTACATGGAATAAAATCGTGTAAAAAAATTAAAAATATTCAATTTTCAAACCGTGTTATATCAAAACCGTGTACAAAAAGACCGTGTAAAAACAGACTTAGGTGTATCCTCCTTTCCATGGAGGAGATTATAAAAAGGTACCTAATTCGGGTCCTTTGGAAAAAATACTTTGAAAAACTTTTTCAATCTTTCTGCATCTACACTTGTGTTTTATGGAAGCTTTAAGAAAAAAATATAAAAACATAGTTATTAATAATCAATAAAAAATCCTCTTTAACTATATATTAGTTATAATTAGTTGATTTAATTTTAAACCTACTAAAAATAAAAATGCTTTGTTATTTTTCCTTCTAAAAATCTAAAAGTTTCATTTGATTTGCAAAAAGTTTCATTTTGGTTGCAAAAGGTTTAATTTCGGTTGCAAAAGGTTTCATTCCCGCTGTAAAAGGTTTCATTTCCACTGCAAAAGGTTTCATTTCCACTGCAAAAGGTTTCAATTCCACTGCAAAAGGTTTCATTTGAATTGCAAAAGGTTTCAATTAATCTGAAAATGCTATAATCATACCAGCAATAAGAACAAGTAATAAATTTGACAGTGACCCACAATGTTTAGTTTTTTTACCAATAAGGAAAGGTCAAAAGTCGGGTGGGACCGACTATATCATACCCTACACCACTATGTAGATTTAGTAGAGCTCCCACAACAAAGAAAATTATATTGAGAATTTATGTGAAGCAGATCAGACCAACTATGATTCAAATAAAATTGGTGTATTGTGCATGACATGACTTCGATAAGGATTATATTAAAAAATACATGGTGAGATAAAAAAACTGCAACGAAGTCAAACGCCATAATTTTTACATTTTTTTTAAATTTTTTTGAATGAAAGCAAAAAATATCGGTAATAGCATCAAATTTTAGAATGAGTTTAGATTAGTTCGAATTAGTCACCTTTGGCACAAATAATGGCCTTCAAACGGCCAATGCAACCGTCACACGCTGTCTCAGTGTTGCTCTGCGGTATTTTGGCCAATCCCGGCGAAGCGTTTGCTTGGGGTGATCGACACTTTGGTATTTTTTAGTGCCAACCTTGCTTTCCAGAAGACTTCAGACCTCAAAAAACTATAGGCTTCTATTCTTACCCTAACTCCATGCAACTCGTGGGGATCGGAACATAACTGCGGCCTGTAGAGTGATTACGAATTAACATGGACAGGCGGACAGGCAGGTGGACGGACGCACATAGCTAGATCGACTCAGTTCGACGAGATAGTTTTTTGGCCCATTCAAACTTTATATACCCCTAACACATATTGTTGTAGGGTTAGGGCGCTGTACTGAATTAACCTATTATTTGGCAATTAGCCTCTTGCTGGGTACATTCATTCAACGTCATTTCAAAATTTACTCAAAATGTTCAAAAAAGCTTTATTTCAATGTGATATATTTTTCATATGTTCTCACCTTATTCAAAATGCTTAGTGATTAGATTCCTGCCACTGACATCCATAGAAGGGGCTAGATAAGTCTTTGTAGTTTCCGTGGACTTCTATCCGTGATAAATATTATTTGCTCGTAATTACTGACGGTCTTGTCAATTTAACTGACATCGCCGAAAAAAATAATCAGCCACAGGGTAATTTCAAATTTTGCCGATTAAGTTATCTATTGAGGAAATCCTAATTTTGCAATGTTATCAAGGTCAGACGAGCTAAATACTGCAAAAGAATTAATAATCTACCAAATCAGACACAATGTTTCAAAAGAAAAAATTGTAAAACATATTATCTGAGCATTTTGAAAATACTTATCCAAGGGTTTCCCACCTTAGAAATTCGATTTTTATCACGTCGTATTAACAGTGGGCTAGTACCCAATGCTAATTCTGAGAACAACATGTCATAAACTTATAAAAATATTACCATAGTCGACTTATTTTTTATACCCTCAGCCATATGGCTTTGTGCCTAGTCTAAGGGTGCCTAGTCGAAATAAGGGTTTTAGACCCTAGGTCCCTTTGGACCAAACCCGTTTCAGGACATTTGGAGTTGATCTAGCAGTGTCCGTCCGTCCGTCTGTCTGGTTGGTGCGCACGATAACTCTCGAAGGGAATATCCGATTTACTCCAAAATTGGTACATTTTTAATATTATTGTCAAACTTAGATCGAGTTCGGAGATGGGCTATATCGGTCCACTCCTTCTGGTACCTTCCCCACAAACGGTCGAAATTTTAAAACAAAATATTTTACTGCACAGAGGGAGAGAGAGAAATCCGATTTAGCTCCAACTTTGCAAATCCTAATATCGGTCCACAGGTGCGAAAAGGACAACATAGGTCCACTGCCCCAAAAAGAGTGAAAAATTTAATGATTATAACTCTTACAAAATGTGATGTAAGTATCCGATTGTCTTTAAATTACACACATCATAATATTTTTTATTAACCCAGGGTCTGGTGTGAATACGGAGTATATCGGTCCACACCTTCTGGTACCTCCCCACAAAGGGTCAACATTTTGAGTATCCATGAAGCTCATAAAACGTGAATATAACGTCCGATTCCATTCAGACTTCATACATCTCAGTATTTACATTAACACAAAATCTGTTATAAAGATGATAGAGATCGGACTACACCTTGTGGTACCCCCCCCCCCCCACAAGGGGACACATTTTTAAATAACAAAAACGTTTATTAAATCTGACAAAATAATTCGATTCTCTTCATATTTCACACATCCCATTATTTCTACTAACACAAGATCTGCTGTGAAGATGGGATATATCGGTCCACTTCTTCTAGTACCTCCCCCACAAAGGGTCAAAATTTTAAATATTCATGAAGTTCATAAAACACGAAATTAACATCCGATTCCATTTAGACTTGGCACATCTTAATATTTCCATAAATACAAGACCTATTTTAAATATGGTAGAGATCGGACTATTCCTTCTGGTACCTACCTCTCAAAGGGTCAAAGCTTTGAATAATCTTCACATCAGACCTTGGGTTAATAAAAATATTGTTATTTTTATTATTAAATTATTTTCTGTGGAAATGTTAATACAAATGTGGACCGATATTGCCCATCTCCGAACTCGATCTAAGTTTGACAATAATATTACGATGTTCCAAGTTTGGATCAAATTCGATTTTCCCTTCGAGAGTTATCGTGGGCACCAGTCTGCCACAGACATCGCTAGATCGACTCCAAATGTCCTGAAACGGATTTGGTTCAACGAGACCTAGGGTCTAAAACCGTTATTTCGATGAGGCACGTTTTGGCCGTAACAAATGCCTTATGGCTGAGGCTATAATTATTAAATAAATTTTAGTACTTTTCGTACCCTTTTAGTACGAATTTCCAAAAAACCAAGCCTTATTACACCCTTCGCACTAAGATTGACATTTCAGCCAGTCAGTTATTTCACTATATATAGGTATACAATGTATCTATATAAAATGTAAACATTTCAAGCATTTCGATTCGAAAATTTCAAATTTTGCGATGTAAAGTTTCAAAACGCCGATACACTTCTCTATGTTTATCTTTTGTTTCATAACCTACTTCATGTTACTCTACTGCGTTCTACAATGTAATTATAATCACCCTATAAATTCAATATTACCAAATGGAAATGGTGTAATAAACGCACAAAATTACAATTCTGTGACAAACACATGTTGATTTATTCAAACAATTTATTCCACAATGTTGTCGTTGTTCTTGTTTGTTTGGTGTTCTGGCAGTGGCATTACTACATATCCAGTTACACCAGACTTGTTCGTCTTCGTCTTTTTTTTTTTTGGTTGGTTGCTATGTTTAAACTTTGGATTTTCGAATATTGAATGACTTTTGATTTTCTTTTGTTGTCAACATAATTTTTGTTTTTTTTTTTTTTTCAAATATTTAATATTTTTTTCCTGGTAAACACTTGACTTTGTATTAGCCACTCGTGTCGTCACGAGCCATGCGATTCTAATCGCAACTACAATCAGCACATGTATTTGCTTGGACATTTATAAACACTTATTTATTTATTTATTTATTTTATTTTTCGTTGTTGTCGTTGTTGCTATTTGGGAACTTACAATTTTCACTGGCGCCATCATCACTCGCATTTTTAGTTTCATTTATTTTTGAAGAAGTCATTGTTGTTAAGGTATCGATATTTAATTTAGTTTTTTTTTTTTTTTTAATGAACTAAAATAATTTTGAATTTAATTTGTTGTGGTTTTTTTTCGTGGGAAATTTTTCTTTCTGTCACCATGCCAAAATGACAAGTACCAATGAATTTTCCACCGTTCCTGTTTTGCTTTTTGTTCGCGGGGTTCTCTTATTTCTTTATAGAAAATAAACAAATTAATTATTCTTCTTTCATTTTTGGCTGGTTTTCTCTGTTTACTCGCCGCCGTCGATTGCGTTGTTGCCTCGAAGAGCAACTTTGGTAAACTGAAAATTTCGATGACCAACGAAATAAATGTTCATCATAGGGGGGATTTTTTGTTTGTACAGTACATGGAACATACTTCACATTCTCTCTCTCCCTTTTTCTCTCTCGCGGCCACCGTCACACAATCAATAATTAATTTACACACATTTATAAATACGATGAGCACCTATATCGGCAGTATGTGAGAATATGTACATTTGTTCGTGTGTTGTTTATTGGGCAAAAAATAATAAGAATAACAACAACAATGCGGGCAAAAGAAAATATTTTGAGAACAAAAAAGGAAAGTAATAACAATCAAACAGCTCCTGTAAGGGTTACTAACATTTTGACGTTGCAAGCTCTCATATTACTTCATTTCGGAGAGTATAAAGAACATAACTATAATTACAACCAACACTGTTCAACATTTTTGGTCGTCGAATGCAACAACCACTTGCAGTTTGTATTTGACGATGTAATATGGAAACTGAAACATCCAAAAATGGTTTTTGTTGGTTTTCTTATAGCAAAAGTTTCATGGTCATATCTTTTTTTGGACAAAATTAACAATTGAGTTTATATTTGGCCAGATTTTCTTTCAAAAACATCCACTTTATGGACGGTTTCATATATTAACAAGTAAAATTGTATCCGTTGGTTTTGCTGACAGATGCCTTTTGTAGAACAAAAAGAACACGAATAATATTAGAATTATAGTCATTGGAACGGTAACTACAACCATCGTTGAGTTGAACGATGAGAAAACCCCGCAAAGTGGGAATTTTTGTTAAATATATCGAAAAAAAAAAAAAAATTCATACGAATTCCACTTCTAGACTGATTTTAAATAAGTTTGTTTGTATAAATCATAAATAATATTTTTGTGTAAGCAAACCAAAAAAAAAAAAAAAAAAAAAAAAAAATAATAATAATAAATAATAATAATAAAATGTCAGAAATTTATAAGAACATTTCAAAATTTTACAAATATATATTAAGTTCCAAAGCATTTTTTCATAATCTTCTATTTTTATACACTACACCACATAGAGATAAGGGTATTATGTTTTTGTGCATTTGATTGTATCATGGAGAAGAAAGCGAGATAGATCCATAGTTACTTTTTCAGGATCTTCATAGAATCACTTTCTGAGTCGATTTCTGCATGTCTTGTGACAAAATACAGGTCGCATTTATTATACAATTGAGATGAAATTTTGCAAACAATATTTGTTTGGCCCAAGGATGAACCCTATTGAAATTGGTGAGAATCGGTTCAAATTTAGCTACAGCTCTCATATATATCTTCAACCGATTTCGAAACTATTGTCCACCAAATGGCTAGTATTAGCCCAAATTTAGGCACATCCGACAGAATTCAGTCTAGAACAAGTACATCAAATTTGGTTGAAATCGGTTAAGATATAGCTATAGCTCCCATATATAATTTTCATCCGACTTAGTTGTTAAGTCCCTAACATTCGTAATATGCACTCCACAAGAATGATATTTGGTACCAGATATCTTATAAAGCTCGGAAATACCTCTGCAAACTTTTTTCAAGATCGGTTAGGATTTGGATATAGGTCCCATATATATCTTCAACCGATTTCGGGTTAATTGGGCACCGAATGGCCAATATCAGCCCAAATTACTTGAATTTTGGCACATCCGACCGAATTCAGTCTCGCAGCAAGTACATCAAATTTGAATGAAACCGGTTCAGATATAGCTGTAGCTCCCATATATAACTTTCATCCGATTTGGTTGATAAGTCCCTCACATTAGTAATATGCAGTCCACAAGAATAATAATTGGTATCACATATCTTATAGAGCTCGGAAATACCTTTGAAAAATTTTATCGAGAACGGTTCAGATTTCGATGTGGTCCACATATATATCCTTAATCCGATTTCTGGTCTATCGTTACCGTGATACTGGTAGCGTAGCCCGACGTCATGGAAGTGGACTAAAGGAAACAGCAACATCAGCAGAAATGGTTCGAAAAATAAAGAAGCGACTTGATCGAAACCCGCATCGCAGTGGCCAAAAAATGGATCGTGAGCTGAACATATCGCAATATTCATTCACCTCAAATAATCGTTTCGCTTACCGCAAAGCAACATCCGGTGACGACGTGTGACGGTTTCATTGGCCGTTTGAAGACCATAATTCGTGCCAAAGGTGAACAATTCGAAACTTATTCCAAAATTTGATGCTATTTCCGGTATTTTTTGCTTTCATTCAATAAAATTAAAAAAAATGTAAAAATTATGGCGTTTGACTATATTGCAGTTTTTTATCTCACCCTGTTTAGCCTTTGCTTGGTTGTTTTCTTCTGGAGAAAAAAAAAATTTCTAATATATTTTACAAATTCTTCTGGAACAAAAATCCTGAACTTTTAAGAATACATATTGATTCTTTTAACAATTCCCGGCTAAATAGTTTTTTTTTTCAAAAATCCATTTAATTATAATCGACGAAATGAGCAAACATTTTGTATGCATGCTCAACTTATTTACATTTACCTATACAAACAGAGTGACATAAATACTTTACGCCTCGCTAACTTCAAATTAGACTAGATTTCAAATAGCGACCATATGTTTTTAATAGCACTAAATATTTAATATTTTTTGTTAATTACTTCAGCCATTAATAATCAGCCATTTTCTATTGTCATTTGAAAACTGACCGCTGCAAAATTATTTAACAATTTTATACTACTTCATTTGTGGAAGGTGTGTTCTGTGGAGTACCAACCTGCAGTGTTTTCAAATTAAAAAAAAACACATATTTTTTATTTAAATTCTGTTATATACATACGGAAATACAACCATTCATTAGAAATTCACAAATCTTGTTTTTTTTTTTTTGCAATTTTGTTATATGAGCTACTGAGTTTTCTTCTCACAATTCAAACAGATAATTCTGATTTGTCGGTACGCCAGTACATGTGACGACCCGAGGCTCTAAATACAAATTGTTAGTTTCGTAAAATATGGTTTGTATTTGTAAGTTAATAACCTTTGGCTGTTTTGGAATTGCATCATAAAAATAACATGGAATTTCACCCTAATTGGAGGACAGCATTCAACATGTGATTAAAATTTAATATTTATGTATCAAAAATTCTCCGGGACAAGCTGAAGTTGAGTTTTATGTATTTAATTATCTTTTAAGGATAAGAACAAACAGGCCGACACAGTCATAATGTTTTCTTAGAATGCGAACAAATGTAGGTATTTGTAGGCTTTTGGTGAATCCAAATTAACCTTCAAACTTGTATAGCCATGTATTTGGTGCTGTAGTTGAAAGATTTTTAAGAAGTATCACTAAATGTTCTTCATGCTATACATAAGAAAACCGACAATCTTAAGTACAAAGGTGTACAACTAACAAGTGTGAAAATCATGTTGCCTAACTCATTATAACTTATTCAGTCCATTCTGTATAAAACGAATTGGAGGAAAAATTGAAGGAAATATTCAAAGCATATTTTCAGGCAGTTGACTTAAAATATAAGTTCACAGCGTTGTCAGCATATATTTCCATAACTCCCTAATTATTGCATTTTCGTCATTTTTAGATATTATTTGTGACAATTTTTTATGCATCAATTAATCATAATTTTAAAATGGCCATAACTCCTTAAATATTCACTTTATAGCGTTTTTAGCTATTATTTGTGATCACTTTTTTAAGTGTGAATTAATGATATTTTAAAATGGTCATAACTCCTTAAATATTGTGTTTAGAGCGTTTTTAGCTATTATTTGTGATCACTATTTTAAGTGTGAATTAATCAATATTTTAAAATGGCCATAACTCCTTAAATATTAAGTTTATAGCGTTTTTAGCTATTATTTGTGATCACTTTTTTAAGTGTGAATTAATCATAATTTTAAAATGGCCATAACTCCTTAAATTTTGACTTTAGAGCGTTTTTAGCTATTAATTGTGATCACTTTTTTAAATGTGAATTAATCAATATTTTGAAATGGCCATAACTCCTTAAATATTGAGTTTAGAGCGTTTTTAGCTATTATTTGTGCTCACTTTTGTAAGTGTGAATTAATCAATATTTTAAAATGGCCATAACTCTTTAAATATTAAGTTTATAGCGTTTTTAGCTATTATTTGTGATAATTTTTTTGATTGTGAATTAATCATAATTTTAAAATGGCCATAACTCCTTAAATATTGACTTTAGAGCGTTTTTAGCTATTATTTGTGATCACTTTTTTGAGTGTGAATTAATCATAATTTTAAAATGGCCATAACTCCTTAAATATTGAGTTTAGAGCGTTTTCAGCTATTATTTGTGATCACTTTTTTAACTGTGAATTAATCATAATTTTAAAATGGCCATAACTCCTTAAATATTGAGTTTAGAGCGTTTTTAGCTATTATTTGTGATCACTTTTTTGAGTGTGAATTAATCATAATTTTTAAATGGCCATAACTCCTTGAATATTGAGTTTAGAGCGTTTTTAGCTATTATTTGTGATCACTTTTTTGAGTGTGAATTAATCATAATTTTAAAATGGCCATAAATCCTTAAATATTGAGTTTAGAGCATTTCTAGATATTATTTGTGATCACTTTTTTAAGTGTGAATTAATCATAATTTTAAAATGGCCATAACTGCTTAAATATTCACTTTAGAGCGTTTTTAGTTATTATTTCTGATCACCATAACTCCTTAAATATTGAGTTTAGAGCGTTTTTAGCTATTATTTGTGATCACTTTTTAAGTGTGAATTAATCAATATTTTAAAATGGCCATAACTCCTTAAATATTGAGTTTAGAGCGTTTTTAGCTATTATTTGTGATCACTTTTTTGAGTGTGAATTCATCACAATTTTAAAATGGCCATAACTCCTTAAATATTCACTTTAGAGCGTTTTTAGCTATTATTTGTGATCAATTTTTTAAGTGTGAATTAATCATAATTTTAAAATGGCCATAACTCCTTAAATATTCACTTTAGAGCGTTTTTAGCTATT